ATCTTATTAAAACAATCATATCAATATAACTTATTTATAACTATTATATCAAGATATCTTATTAAAATGTTTGCAAATGCTTTCCCTTTTGAAACTGTCCCACGGACATACCATATAGAAGAAAACACGGGTTTTAAAAAAATGTTTTTAAATGACACATCAAGTTTTATTAAGAAATGGAACAAACCAGTAAAACATATCACAAAGATAACACAACGAGAGATTATAGTTAGAGAATATCTTATTCACAGATGTCAATACAATGATTCCAGCCAGATCACAACAACTGATCATCAAGAACGATGTTAACAAGATCTCATAATAAAGGGATCCTTATTCCAGATGATAATAAAATTATCATTGTCATAGATCATTTTAAAGATAATCAAAATTACCGTACGGAATTCTTTATCATCGACCCAATAAGTATTTTAAAAATCCATTAGAAAACTCTCCTATATCTACTCTCTAGGGCAAATGGCACATCTCACGAACAATAGGAAACATAAATAATTAAACAAACAAACAACAAACAACCCAACAACAACAACAAACAAATAAAAAACAACAACAAACAAACCAACACAAACAACAACAAACAAACCAACAACAACAACAACAACAAACAAACCAACAACAACAAACAAACCAACAACAACAACAAACAAACCAACAACAACAAACAAACCAACAACAACAAACAAACCAACAACAACAACATACAAACCAACAACAACAACAAACAAACCAACAACAACAAACAAACCACCAACAACAACAAACAAACCAACAACAACAACAAACAAACCAACAACAACAACAACAAACAAGCCAACAACAACAACAAACAAACCAACAACAACAACAAACAAACCAACAACAACAACAACAAACAAACCACCAACAACAACAAACAAACCAACAACAACAACAAACAAACCAACAACAACAACAAGCAAACCAAAAACAACAACAAACAAACCAACAACAACAAGCAACCCAAAAACAACAACAAACAAACCAACAACAACAAACAAACCAACAACAACAACAAACAAACCAACAAGAACAACAAACAAACCAAGTGTGAAATCCAATTAATTGTGTCCAGGTTTTTTTAAAGATATTTTTAGTTCACACTTTGACTAGAGTTGTAAAGCGTTTCCTGTAATCTATAGATTGTCTATAAAATGCATTTCAAGACTTAGCCAATGTGTAAAATAACATTATAACCATGGTGAATAAGAGTAAGATAATAATAATTATAAATAGTCAAAAAGTTATGATAACAATACTAATAGTTATAGTAATAATAATAATCGAACCCCGCCACATTGGCTCCTACTACAAAGACGTGACTACAAATCTCACAGTTTTATCCTGTTCCAAGCTAGAGTAAATTGTAATACACTTAACCCCTTTGGAAAAATCAATCCTTGTAAGTGATGCCAAGTCTCAAGTCTTAAGTTACATGTCACCCGAAGAAATAATATACAAGCTCATTACATTATTTTATATATACATACATAAAAGAATGAGCTAGGCTGGCCGTAACTCCAAAAGAGGCGAAAATATTCAGATACATTCGGATTCTTATAAGCAATCATAGTTATTTTCTATTATTTTACGGAAATCGAATAAATCCGAAAAAAAAAAAAAAATTAGATCTATTATATATTCGTTTTTATTTTAGTAAAAAATTAAGTGTTATTCTTATAAATTACAAATACATTCAAAATAACAACTAAGTAACGATTATAAGCATTTGATCCGGATGTAAAAGTTAGGAAAAAATTATTAATAAAAAAATTATGATGTCAGAAAATCATCGTATTGACCTTGATAATATTGCGTAATAAAAATAGAATTAATTAGATTTAAATTAATAGCCAAATGACGCCATATCGCGATTGTCTATTATAGCCACAGCTCTATGTTCCTTTGATTTAACAACCGTGCGTGATAAAGCTGATAAAGTATTTCCCCTTCTTAAAAGTAAAATTAATAACTATAATTTATTGCTGTTTAAATCTCTAAAAATTGCTAAAATTAAAAACAACTTTAGCTTTGTATTTTTAACATTGAATAAGTTTTTACTTTTCATTCATTCCAAAATTATGTTCACAGCTGTAATGTTCACTGCTCACGAGTCAAAAAACCTTATAATTTATTTTTGTACGCACCAGACGGAAAAAAAACAACTAAAAAAACCCACAATATTTCTATTTAAAAATTACTTTAAAAAAGTAATTTAAAATTAATTTTTTTTTTTTTTCATTTTAGTGGCATTGCAACGCATGCCACGTTCTCGCTAGTTTTATAATTTTAAAAAATAAAATTAACAAGCCTGTGAAAGAAAATGAAATTCGGAAGAAAATATCTTAGTTATTGTGATCGTAAGTAATGTTGTGTGGTCTTTGAAGGTATCCACTACCGGTAACTCTTGTAATATCTTGTAATCAATTTTTTCTTGAATGCTCTCCCCTTTGACCTTTAAAAAATATTTTTAAAAATTATATAAAAAATTTTTTTTCAAAAATATTAACAAGAAAAATGATCATAATATCAATAATAAGAATAGGTAATAGTGACGTAGCTTGGGGGGGGGAGGGTTTGGGGAGTGCGGACCCAACCAGGTGACACCATCTTAGAGTTGGGGGGGGGGGGGGTGGAAACCAAATTAAAACATAGCGTATTTACAGAACACACCCTGCTCGGTCTAACAAATTTTCATAAAAGGATAACTGATCACATTTAAATTTTCCACCCATGTATCATGTAACACATGCAAATGTGTGCTTTATTAAAAGTTAAAGGTTGATGTGTCAGGAATGAGGTGACCCTATGATTAGGTCAGACAAACACCATGTTGGTCATGATTCAACACCGGTTGAAGAGTTCGGTAATTTTGCTTAAGTGACAGGAAGCATCAGTAACCGTAACTCTGAGACATAAAGCTTTCCATTGATACCAAATACGATGTGGTCGGGTGATTCTAAGAACGTCTTAATTAAATACATTTATCTCCTGACCTACCACTAATTAATTTTTGTTCTTGCCATTCTTATACCGTGTACGTATTTTAACAAGAAGACATCCATTGTTGAGGTCGGGGGGGGGTGGGTTAAGTATGGTGACAACATGAGTTTACCGCACCAGTTTGACACTAACCGTAGCTAAACCACTGAATTAATAATAATGCTAGAGCACTGAAGATGAGCAAGTCAAAGTCATGAGTGGGAGCCCAAGCCAAAGTCATGAGTGGTAGCCCAAGTAAAATTTATGAGTGGGAGCCCAAGTCAAAGTCATGAGTGGGAGCCCAAGCCAAAGTCATGAGTGGGAGCCCAAGCCAAAGTCATGAGTGGGAGCCCAAGTCAACGTTGTGTTCAAAGCTTAACCGCCTCAACAGCTTCTTGGAAGAACCAGTGTACGGATGCGCACAAGTGTGTTTTGTTTTGTCTTTTTTTATCATGTGGTATTAGCTGACAATTTCTGTTTCTGTAATTTAAAATAATTTAGTAAAAATAAACAAAAGGAAGTCACTCCCTGGAAAATAAGTCGTGGCAATCGTAACTAGGATTAGCCAATAAAAGAATACAATTGTAATAATATTGTTTTTATGAAGTGTGGGGTGGGAGGAGTTAAATATAACAAACAGATACATTCTTAAATATGTGTAAAATTATATTAAATGCTTTTCAATAATTTGAAAAATAAGGGTTCATGTTAGGTAAAAATTCATACCATGCCTAATACTAAAAAAATTAGTTCAGTTTTCGGTATATAGAGTTACCTGTAGTTAGGACGCTATTTTTAAGAAATATTAGATGCATGTTATTGAACGTGATTACCTGATTTATGAGGGCAAGATCATAATGTAGGCCTCTTTTATTCTTTTATTGTGTCTAAGATTATCATTTAAAGTTCCTAAAATTGTGTATAACTTACTAAATTATAAATAAATAGGGCCTAATTATTATACTGTTTAACCTGCTCGACTGCTTGGCAATGATGGGCTTGGCACAATAATTCACAATATTAATAATATTATTATTGACTGCCTATTTAATTTAAGCCTATTATTATTATTATATTATACTTTTGGCTAATGTATAGAGATGATCCCGTGACGTCATTTGCATGCCTTGTCCCTGGTTCCGATAGGGTCAAAATCCTGGTTCCGATAGGGTCAAAACCCTGGTATGCTGATACTGATAGGGTCAAAAACCCCAGTCCAGGTTTAGGGATAAATTGAGGGTTCAGGTTAGGTTTAGGGATAGAATTAGGGTTCAGGTTAGGTTTATGGATATAAAATGAATAAAACAAAGTAGGGTTAAACCTGAAAAAAGGAATGCAACAATTTTTTAATTTTTTATACTGTTTTTTCTGTTGTTTTGTTCGCTAATGAAGACTTCCTGCTGACACTTTGGTTGTTTTGTTGCATTCATTTTTTCAGGTTTAACCCTGCTTTGTTTTACTCAGTTTATTTTGTGCTGACCTGATTGCAGTCTCTCCCCTTATTACCCTTTAGGTTTAGGGATACATTTAGGACACAAGTGTGGGGTCGTGGCCACCAAGATGGCTGCCATGGTGCTTATCTCTCCAAATTTACCTAATACTTATACTTTATTCTTTGAACTATAAATTTTCAACTATTACTACATTAAACTTACTAATTACACTGTCACTGACTGAAGTTTTAGTTTTGAATGTTGGAAAGATAAACTTGACCTTACAATTTTCAAGCATATTTTAACATTAACAGTACATGAACTACGAACTACGTGTCATTGCACCCTCTAAATTAAGACAAAGTTATAAACTCAAACGCAGTACACAGCTCATAATTAGGCCCTATTTATCTATTATTAATGCACAAAATGAAGAGCAAAATAAAACAAAATTAATGATTTAATGTGATTATGATTTCCCTAATGCTTACTTATAAGTTATACTGTTTAAACTGTTCTGTTTTTTCCCCAGGTAGAAAATTTCACCATCAACTGACTGGGTTAACCACTTCTATCTCAACAAACATGTCTCTAGGTGTTTAGAACAATACTATTAATATATCAAGTTCTTATATAAACGTTTTCAAAAGGGCATTATAGTTATAGTTCCTTACTCTTCCACGTATTGTACCAGTAGTTAAAATAAAATTTATTAGAACAAGAATGGACAGTGAGAAAAGTTCACATAAAAAAGACATGGACAATGCAGTGTCAGAAAATCCTGAAGCCGCACCAGGTGATTGGATCAAAGAGTTGTTTGCACCGATTTATGATTTTGATGCCATTGTTGCTGCTGGTAAAGATGGCTACAAACTGGAAGAATCCAAAATAAGAAGGGCTCCAATACTTGATCCACAGACAGTGCGAGAAGTATTTGAAAAAGTTCATCAACGGATAGTTGATGCTGAAAAGCAGAAATTGAAAGAAATTGATGAGAAAAAACGTAAGAAATGGTTTTTAATAACTATGTTCTTGTGCAAAATTATAGAAAAAATAAGCTTTAATTTATACATTTATTGTAGATAAACCTGTAAAAAAAAAAATGTATTAAATTTTAAAAGGCAATTAAATAAGTAACACTGACACTAGGTAAGGGAAAACCTGAAAAAGGACACAAAAGAGGCTTCTGCAGAAGGCTTTCTTCAGCGAACAAAACAAGTGGTCAACAAAAATAAACTAAAATAACTTATGATTATTTCATTTTACCTAGCCTGATTGGAGTCCTCCACTTATTATTCTTTTTAGTTTTAAAATATGATTTCAAATTGCAATATGAATATTAGTCTCTTTCTGTATGTTTAGCACATAAAACAATACACTGGCAAATATAATATTATATTTTTGTTAACAGAAGTTGAGCTAGACAAAAAGATTGATCCTCGTAAATCAAGTATATGGGACACAGATGAAATTGATATGCTTCGAAAAGTTTATAAATCTGCTAAAGGTATTTTATTTGACAATTACTTTATTGTTCTAGAGTAACTATTCAGTACTGGTAGTGTTCATTCTGTATGATGTAACACCCTGCATTCCTAATGTACCGGTACATATACCGGTATGTTTGTAAATCGATACTCAATGTAATTAAAAGCTAGGGATAACATCACATTGCAGTCCGTCACTTTTCAAATATTTAATTTTCTCTTTTATTCTAATTTTGATTGGAATACTTTTTTTTTATCTAAGGCTTTAATTTCCAGCAGTATTTTCATCAATTAGAAGTCTTTTTTTTTTTACATAAATTTTGCCTTTACTTGAAATTAAAATACTTTACAACCTCTTTTCATCATTATTAATATTATTTATGCAATCAGCTGAAATTACAAAACTGGAAGTTGCCCTGAGAGAACAGGTGTCCCATAATACCAGCTTGGAGGCTACAGTCACAAGGCAGAGAAAGGAGATTGAACAGCTGAAAGGACAATTGTCAGAGGCGAAGAAATCTAACTCTAGGCTGGTCATTCACAGAGACAGTCTCCAAAAGGATCTGGCAGTCCTGGAAGTGAAATTATCTGCTCTGACCGACATGTGGCACGACATCGAAGCAGAAAAGGTTTGTTATCAGAGTAAGGGGGGAGGAGATGCTCATGTTTTTTTTTTCATGTAACTAACCGAGTTTCAATAGTTTTATTTTCATCATTAGGTTTCTAAGATAATCTATTACATGTGATACAGTTTGTACTCGTGTTCAGTATTAAATAAAAGGAATGTACTCGGGATGTTAATATATCATTATTGTCTCAGGATGTTAATATATCATTATTGTCTCAGGATGTTAATATATCATTATCTGTCTCCTTTGGCATACCATACCTTTTACTTTTAGAAAATTGATTTTGATTTTCCAACTTTTTTCTCACACTCAAGGCCACAGTGATATTTATAGGATGGTAAGCTTGCACTTGAAAGTTCATCTGTATTTAGAACTTTTTAAGAATTTCTTTCATAATCATCCCACCAATCAAAATACCAACCATTTACCTGTGTGTTGATGTGCCTAGTAGATCAGTACAGACAATAGCAGTGTTAGCAAAGACAAAACAAGCTCTGATTTAATCTGTGTCAGAAATCTTAGAGTAAAATTTGAAATTTAATCAAATTGTGGAGGCCAACACTTCTCCCAAAAAAGTGTTTACTTATTGGGTTCCTAATACCTCCTGATGCACCCCCCTCCCCCACTTTTTTTTCCCCCTTATATGTGACTTTATTTTATTATACACCAAGCTAGTATTGGAGTACCAGTACCTTAATTGTTAAGAAAATATTCTTTTTAAATTTAATAATTTTCACAACAAAATAATAATAAATCAAGTCATAATTTCTACAGGATATTTAGCTTCAGTATGTTAATGTTGTTTTTTATATTTTTTTTTATTTTAAGGTTAAAGCAATGGAGGATGCCAAATCTGGACACATGGCTTTAGATAAAGAGAGACTCACAAGGCAAAATCTGGAAAGCCAGCTGTTACAGGCAGCTAATAATGCGCTTCGTGAGAAAGCGTTGATAGAAAAAAACATGGCAACAAAATACGAGATTGAAATCTGTGACTTACAGGAAGTAGTTCGGGACTTAACAGCCGAACTGCAAGAAGAGAGAAAACTCCATGCAGCTGCTAAACGAGGACTAGACCACTTGAGGAAGCATTTTTCCAGTTTACCTTTAAACAATCTCATTCCACCCAATGCAGTTTTTAAAGATGATGTTCAATACATTGATCACTGCAGCTGACGATGAGACTTTCATCTTGTTTCTCTTGAGTGAATTTATAACTACTGGATGGCATGGCAGTGACACCTTTCCCTGCCAAATCTGCCATGCCATCTGCTGCACAGAGTCCTTCTTCACCGATACTGTAGTTGAATTAATTTTCTTTCCCTTTTTCTAACTTGAAATTGCTGGATGAAAATGATACATTTACTGTTGCTGATTTGATATAATTTTAAAACTATATTTCTGCCCAGAAGTGCAACCTCTTTAAGAGGTTAAAGTTTGTTGTGCTGTTTACTTTACACTTCCATGCAACGCATTTCATACTTCCAGGGCAGATTTTCAATACCGGGTACTGAACTAATACTAGCTAGAGAATAGATTTACTAGTTGACATGGAAAGTTTTACTACCTACAGAATTTACCAGTTGAAATGGAAAGTTTTACTACCTTGAGACTAGAGAGATTTACTAGTTGACATGGATAGTTTTACTACCTGCAGAAGATAGATTTATTAGTTGAAATGGAAAGTTTTACTACCTTGAGACTAGAGAGATTTACTAGTTGACATGGATAGTTTTACTACCTGCAGAAGATAGATTTATTAGTTGAAATGGAAAGTTTTACTACCTTGAGACTAGAGAGATTTACTAGTTGACATGGATAGTTTTACTACCTGCAGAAGATAGATTTATTAGTTGAAATGGAAAGTTTTACTACCTTGAGACTAGAGAGATTTACTAGTTGACATGGATAGTTTTACTACCTGCAGAAGATAGATTTATTAGTTGAAATGGAAAGTTTTACTACCTTGAGACTAGAGAGATTTACTAGTTGACATGGAAAGTTTTACTACTTAGAGACTATATAGATTTACCAACTGACATGGAAACTGAAACTTTTACTACCTAGAGACTAACTGAAATGAAAAGTTTTACTACCTAGAGACGATATTTACTAGCGGACATAAAATGTTACTACCTAGACTATTATTATTGATTATCAAAATACAAACACATCACCATACATCAGAGCGCATCAATAGTCTTGCTCACCCTGACAAAATACTTCTTGAGCAGTCATGACGGCTACATTTACCAATTAGATGTGTTTTCGTATGGCTGTCCAATAAATATTATTTGTGGAATGTACATTTTCTGTCACATGATCTGACCAAACATTTTCAAGTTTGCATTAACATTATTAAGGATTTTAGTGTCTCTTGTAAAATTTAGAAAACTGGATGTGTTTAGAGTTCTTCTTATCCATGATGGATTGAAACCTTGTTATCAATATTGAGATTTTACCCTCAAAATTATATTCAGGATAAATGACTTAAACATGATATCATTCAAGGATGTCTTCAACATCGAGATGCAAGATATGTCCAGCTAGTTGGACCAGCTAGATAAGATGACCTCCCAGATAACATGTCCTGCTGGATTGGACCACTTCTTTCTCTAGGCCAGTGGTCGGCAAATTGTGGCTCGGCCAGTCGGCCACAAATCCGTTTTGACTCCGAAAAACATGGGGTGCTTGACAGGTTCTTGAAAAGAAATTTGGCTCTCAAACATTTTTTTAAACGCCCTGCTGCTGATTTTTGGCTCTTTTGACAAATGAGTTTGCCGACCAATGCTCTAGGCTAAATGCATGTTAGCAAAAAAATGTATGAAATGAAAAGACAAAACAAGGGGACCTGTTTGAGAGCTTTTAATTCACAATACAATGGCAAATAATTGGGACTTACATGTATAAGAGAAGCAGTGTGGGCTTGGGGTGTATGGGCCAAGTAGAATTACAGCAACTGAAGATATCAAACTGGTTTTGTTTTTAACTTACTGCCATTAATTTCTTTTATGGTAGGAGATAAATTTAGTTCATGATCAAATGTGAATGTATACAAAAGCTAAATTTTAATACTTAACTTTTTGTGTTTTCTTTGACAGTTTTGGGTAAGATTGTTTTTGTTGACAGTTTTGGGTAAGATTGTTTTCTTTGACAGTTATAGTTTAGATAAGATTTTCCAAGTTTAAAAATCATAAGACAGGTCTACACCAATTGTGTATTTAAAAAAAAAAAAAAAATTCAGTGCTCTTGTGATCTTCACAAATGACCATGAAACATAAGAAAATTTCAGAGGTGATTGTGGAAAAACAATTTTTAATCCAAATTAGCTGTGAATTGGATTAAAAGTTCTTTTGAAAATGACTTACTTTGAAAAAAAAAACAATGTTGAGTAGGTACCTGAGAGTTATATTATTAATCTAGCTTTGATAATAGGGTACAAAGAAATTAATATTACTCTAGATCAGGGAGTCCTCAAACTTTTTAATCAGGGAGGCCAATTTACAGTCCCAAAGAAAAACATACTATCCAATTCCTATGCACACTGCACTTATCTTATTTGCAGTACAGGAAAGTAAAATATTGAAAATGAAGAACATTTTTAATGAACATCATGTTACTAGTATTTCAATTGGAAGCCTGCTTTTGGCTGAATAGATCTTCAATGTCCGGTGCTATATTTGTCACTGCTACGCGGGTAACTGGTTAAGGATCCCTTTTGCAGGCTGGCTCTGGATCATGGGCCATAGTTTGAGGACCCTTGCTCTAGATTTTAAAAAATCCTATTTTTCTTCTAATTTCATTTAAATCACATAGTGAATTTATTATTATAAAAACTATGGTTAAGATTAGTATCTCTTAAATTTATCACAAATTTTAGATTATCATCTAAAAATGTAGATTGAGTTTTTTCCTTGAAAGCTTATGATGTGATTTTTGTTAAGGAACTTTAAAAAAATTAATTAAACCCTAAAAACCAAAGCTTTTATCTTATGGCTCAGAAATGTGTTGGTGGGGGGTGTTGGAGGGGGTGGCTGTGTAGGAGTGTGGCAGAATGAAGTTTACATTTTTTAAAATATTGGAATTTTGAAAAAGCCAACAAATTATGATTATAATGATGGGAAACAGCATATGTCTGTGTAGTGTTTGTTTGTTTCAAAGATTATGTCACAGGATGATGAAAAAATAAAGATCTTTTGACTGACCCAATGCACTGCTATTTCTAAAACGGTCGTATTAAGCTAACACCATTATAAGTAACAGTTTGTATCATGATACATATGACATATTTATACAACTGCAACAGAGCTGAATGTTTGTCTTCAAGCGTACACCTGGCTTATTTGACCTCATAGAGAGATTTTTTCTATACAAATATCACTTAATTGAAGAATAACATCAAAATAGTGATTTCAGTTTAACATAGGAATACACAAGAATTTAAATGATTAAAATCGGTACAGACTAAATAAAAGGTTTGATTTAAAAAAAAAAAAAAAAATTGAACTGAAACTAGCAAAACAAAAATTTCACCATCATGAAAAATCAAAATAGTGATTTCAGTTTAACATAGGAATACACAAAAATTTAAATGATTAAAATCGGTACAGACTAAATAAAAGGTTTGATTTAAAAAAAAAAAAAAAAATTGAACTGAAACTAGCACAACAACAATTTCACCATCATGAAACATCTACTACCGGTAACAATAATTATGACAGTCACATTTTACAGCCTTATTGGTTTCTAGTGCCGTACGTACAAGGTGGGTGGGGGCATAAAAACTTCATATTTTGTTTCTTATAAGTATTTCCTGATCCATAATTTCATTTAAGTTAAATAAAGGAACAGTTGAAGAGATACACACTTCAAATTTGATGAGGATAACCAATAAAGCATTACAGTATATGAACGTCATCATGTAATTATTTGACCAAGGTGATGATCAATCAGACAAAACCAAAATATCACCAAGATGTCAGACATTTCTATCAAAAGTTGCAAATATTCACGCACTACATCTGGAGCACATCCACACAATTGGTTTCACGACAAAAAGTTTATCATAGTAAACATTATTTGTTGGATGAACTATGACACAAAGCAAAGTTGATTATTTATTATGGTAAACATTATTGTTTGGATGAATTATGACAAAAGTGTCGGGGTTACCCCCTCGACATGTAGGGAGTAGTTATTCTGGCCAAACAAATCAAAAACTGAAAATTCCCCATTTTCATAATTCATAAATTCATAGTTCCTTCTATATAAATACAGTAGAAATTCATGTGTAATTTTATCATAAAATTTAACATTTATCATAAAACTTATTCATAGCAATACACTCAAAGAGTGGCTGTAAAATTGAAAAAAAAAGTGAAAGTTATGGCACAGTCCTGTCTTGTATACATACAATCCTCAGTTGTATTGAATGACTAAGAATGACATCGAATGCACATACAATAACACAATCAAGCCAAATAGGCATTTGTTGACACTCTGGCATAACGTACCGGTACAATCAACTTGAATACCAGCACCTGCAGACACCCAGACATGATGTACCGGTACAATCAACCCATTTACCAACACTTTCATGCTCAGACGTGGAATATACAATGACAGGGTGATTAGACACATATCACTTTAAATGACATGACTGCAAGGGACATATTTTAAACATATTAGTATCAGAGTGAATGAGAAAACATGCCAATGCCACAGCTGTTACAGACTTGGCACTAAAATATTTCGTTACACCAGGACGACATTTAACATATGAAGAGTAACGTTCACATTGCAAGGTACAGTTTGAGCGTGACATAACATCATTTTAAAATTTACGTGGGATAAAAAAAAGTAGCTTGATTTTTTTTTTGAAGGCCTATATCAGCAAGCACTTAGGCATCAATTCTCCTACAGTCCAAATGGTTTCAAGTGGGATATGTATAGTCCAACGTTGAGGGTGTAAAGACTAAGTTAGTAACATGATTCATGCAGTAAAGAAAAAAAAAGTAACTTGTCTGAACACTTTGGGTCACTATTTAAAATCACCCAAAAAAACAAAGGTTCCCAACTTTAAAAAAAAATATATAAACCATTTTTTTTTTTTAAATGACACATGCTTGCCATCTCCCTTTACCCCACTTTCATCATTCAGAAGGTTCAGATGTAATGAAAATTAAAGATTCAGTGACTCTCCGGATGACTTCTTAGATCATCAGTGTATCTGCAATTTAGGAACTGCTGCTATGAACAATGTGCTCTTATTTCTGTATGCAGCTGTTGACATCACTTGGCCATCCTTTCCACCTGAGTTACTTCTCCTGATCAACATTTTAGGAACTAAGTCTCAGAAAATTTATTGTTGCAGTCATGTCCTTTTGGGACACAGAAGCAACAGAAATGAAGGGTTTAGCACAATGATTACTCCCTAAAATTAGCATATTTGAAGTCACAGTAAACAATGATTACTCCCTAAAATAGCACATTTCAAATCAGTTGGAATAATGATTATTTTAAAACCCATTAGACAAAAGATATTTTAAAAACAAGAAAAAAAAAAAAAACACTGGTTCATACTAAATATTCATACTTGAGGAAAAAAATGTTTCTTTCATATAATTTAAATTTGATACAATTGCAAGCATTGCATTAAAATGTACACCCCCCTGTTGCTGCAAGGGGTTGATCTATTTATAGCTATACCCATAATGCCTTTTCCACTTCATGG